GTCAGATGCATGGATGCTCGACCTATCCATGTGGGCTTGAACAGGAGCATGTTTACAGTGGGCGATCGCGTGAGCTTTAAGCACGGGGTCAGCCCAGCCAAGCAGGACCGCCGCATAATGCCTCAAAGTTGTATGGGATGCAGATGTATGTAGAGGTAAGATTTTTGTTCAGCTGCAATGTTTCATTTGCTTCTTATTTCTCTGCTTCCGCTTCGAAGCCTGCTGGAAGAGGAGACCATTGTCGGTACTGTCCGCTTCGTGGGCAAGACGGAGTTTGCACCAGAAGCAGCTTGGATGCCCGAAGCTGCGATTTATGCTCCTGGGGACCCTTAGGGTATGCAGGCCGATGCGCATGCCCAGCTTGTGTCAGCACGCCTGGCAGCCGCAGCCAGGAGTGGCTCGGTGTGGTGCTCGAAGAGAAGGCCAGAAGCGTCGTTGCCTCTGTTTTAGTTCATCTCGTCCCGGAGATCGTGATGGCTGGGTGGCCGTGCTACACCTGCGTCTGGGGGAATGAGCTGCAGCAACTCTGAAGCGTGGCTTTGCCTGTGCAGGTTGGCAAAAACGACGGAAGTGTGAAAGGAAAGTCTTACTTCCAATGCGAGCCCGGGTGCCCACCCTCCATGCGGTGTGCCGATGCACCCTCCGGTCTTTTGCTGCGCTAGGTCTTTTGCCGAACTATTGCCTTGGAGATCTGCTAGGCTACCACGTGTTAAATTGCTCGTGGCAGGTATGGGATCTTCATAAAGCCGCATACTGCGCAGAAGGCCAACCGGTTCTTCTACTCGCAGAGTGTAGGGTTTTACCATCATGTTTGTTGCCTACGTTGTGTTGTTCGCATTGCCCCCATCCTCCAAAATAATACTGGCAGCGTGAATGCTCCGGCTTTTCCGAGGATCCGAACAGGCCCCAGCTTTGGATAGCCCGCGTTTTGCAGTGCCCTACGTCGCTCCAAGGCAACTGTAACCCTGTAGCAAAGCCTGGCATTAGGGGTTTAGGGTTTAGGCTTTGGGGTTAACTCCGCCAGGTCCCTCAGGCCTCCGCTCGAAAGCCAGGTGGCTCCACGACCCCAAAGCTACCCACGACCCCACGCAACCCAAGCTCGCATCGCCTGCCTAAGCATTGGGGCCTAGAGAGCCTTAACTCTCTCTCTCTCTCTCTCTGTATATAAATAAATAATAACAGTATAATGTAATATAATATAATCCTGGGGCCGCAAGCCACTTGCTTTGCCAGGTCTCCGCGGCGCCTCCGGGTGCAGAGGTGGCTTCTACCAAATCCTGTGCTGCATACAACGATTGTCACGTGTTGGAGTTCAAGCGCATGCTTCCGGGTCTCGGTCGCAGTCTTGGTTCCGCAAACTTCTCCGATCCTTAAACGTGCCTGACACTCTACCCCAATTCCTAGCGCGTCTGTCGATCTTCAGTCTAGGGAATGCACCTCATCATCACGTGTCACAGTTGATATGGTTACTTGTTTGTGCGAGTGCCAGTATCAACACAAATCCTAGCCGTCGCATTCTGAGGTGCCTTCACCTTCTGCAGCACCGGTTCCAGAGGCTCCTTCCTGAAAAACGGCTTGCAAAGCATCGGGCTGGTCGAAGTTGTCTAAACTCAGGATCTACGATCCTTGGCTTGACGGTGGGTCTTCCAAACAGGGGCTGGTGGTTCAGCGATTGGAATCGACTGAGAGTCAAGAGGGCTTAGAGAGCATTGTTTCCTGTACCATCTTGTTTCGAGACGTGAAACCTCAGATCCTAGCGGGACATTCCGAATCCTTTTAAGATTCATTGCCTTGGGTTCTATTCAGCTCTTGAGAAACATGAGAAACCGTAGCAAAAACCTTACGGATGCTCTCCAGATTCTGCTTCTGATCAAAGCCATAGTCTCTCTATGGGGCTGTTTAGCATTCAGAAGGGTGGTCTTCACTAGCGAACCGAAGTCAAGACCGGTCCCTCAATTTGATGCGAAGGCTCAAGAAGAGGAGAAGGCCGGCGGTGGGAGCTGCTGTCGAGAGGAAGCTAGGCGTTGACGGTTGTAGGGTTTCCAGACTCTGGAAACGGCCGTACTTGTGGTCGCTGGTCGCATGAAGTGTAACTGGTACTTGGTATGGTCCCGACCCTCATTTTGGGAGACGGACCGGCACGGTTGATGGTTGATGAGGTCGAATAACTTCGTACCGCCAATGACAGGGTTGAAGCAGTCAGCCGGTTCTGGAACGCCAACCTCGTCGAAACGCCAGCATCTTGCAGCCGACCCTTGCTCGGCGCTTTGGTCCCCGGTGTTGCAGTGGAACCGCAGAAAGCCGAAAGCGACAAGAAACACGGATCGCTGCGGAGACAGTTGGAAGGCAGAACTTAGACGTAGACAGACTTGCGACTCTTACGACGGACAGGTTTTCCAAACATTAAACGTGAAGTTGCCGACCATCCACTTTTGGACTCGTGGGCGCTTGGGGAGATTTCGGCAAGCTTGATGCCAGTACCAGCACCATGAATGGAATCCAAGATGGCCTTTCTTTGGAGGCGGGTTCAATGTGGATGCTTTGCACTGCGCTGATTGTCGCCTGGCTTCTCCGGTTCTGCCGAAATCCCTTATTCTAGTTCGGTTCTGTCTTTCAGTTTTGGTCACAGGCTTTGTTCGCGCACGGAGCCCTGCCCAGTGTCCTTATGGGGACTTCGGGGATCCCCAGCAAACCCCGAACCCGAACCATGGCACCCGGAGGCCGCCCTTCGCAAGAAGTTGGCCGAGGCCACTGAGGCAGCCGTAGAATCGCTGGGGAAGTGGGGATACTGGGTTCAGTTTCCCAAGCAAAAGGTAGGTCCGCATGTGTGAGGTCTGCTTGTCCCTGAAGGTGCATGTGCATGCGTGACACTGCATTGGCTATGCATCGCATCAACGACTTCTGAAACTGACTGAGCTCCGACGCTCTGAACTTCCATCGTTATGCTCACAAGGGGGGTTTCATGCTGTAGGCTCAGCCGCGCGCTGGCATGCATGCTCTCTCCCCAATCGTGAGCAGGGTGGATACTGCAATGTCAGTAGAGTAGAGCCTGTGGTGCAGGATGTCACTAGACAGAAGCGACCTCGCCATACTGTTTTCCTCCTGCCTGTTGCCTTTGCACTTCTGGTTCATTGCAGAACAGCACTGCAGAAAGTTTGTGCTGCGAGCGTGTGCCCCTCTCATGTGTTTCATTCTCAGTCCCAGTTGAAAGCTACTCTGGCTACCAAACATCTGGTGGCCGACAAAGCACAGTTTCCTGGAAAGGATCCAAACCCGAGGACTTCGCCAGGATTGTTGCAGTCTCTACCTTCCCAGATGTCGTGCGTGCTCACTGTCCTCACTTCGAACCATGGGCCATCGGTATTACTCTATTTTCGATTTGTTCATCGGTTCACAGCACAGGGTATCCCGCAGGCTTGCACATTAAGACAGAGACTGGGCAGCCTGCAGCGTCGGAGCCGGAAGGAGCGTGATGTCAAAACTATCCTGGAAGCCTGTGGCTCAGAATGTGCACGTTGCTTCATAGCTTAAGGTGACGTGTCCTGCATGAACAGCGACGAAGCCAGTGCCAGAGCAAGTGTGGCGGAGATAGTAGGACAAGAAGACGAAACAACAACAACAAAGAGGAAGGGCAGAAGCAGAAGCAGAAAAACATGCAGCAGCGGCAGCAGCAGCAGCAGCAGCAGCAGAAGAACAACATAAATCAAGATAGTACTAGGAAGAGAAGCACGGGCGTAAGCAGCAGTTGTAATCTTAACTATTCACGAGGAGAGGATGGAGCTTGCTCTAGATCAGCTTCCGTCACAGTACCTATTGTACTAGTCCGTCTTAGGCCTTAAGCTGTGGCAACGAGGACCCGAGAGGGGACCGTAGGTTGGACCAAGCCCAGGTGTTCCGACCAGCTCTGAGCTTCGGCGTCGATGCCAAGGCGCGGCGGAGCTGTCTTTCTCTTTCTCTCTATATGTGTATGTGTATGTGTATG